ACTTGTAACTATTAAACTAAATGTTCCTAATTGGATTTTTCGTTAGTGTAACTATAAGTATGGTTTTTGAAGGCTTTTGTACAAAAAGTCAGAAAGTAGGCTTAGAGAAAATCGGGTGGTAATATGGAACCTTACTGTATATTTTCAAAAAATGCTTTAATGTAGCCAAAAACAAATAGGAAAGTACAAAGAATGTTAAATAATTACAAAATCATTTACTCCAATGTATTTTAACGCAAAAATGATTTAATATTTTAAAATTAGTCTATATGTAAATGCACCATCTTACCCCACCTATGAGGTTTATTTTTATAGACTATAGACTACAAGAAGGACAAATTAAAATGGTTAAACTATCGCTTTCTTCAATATTGGCACAAGAACAGTGTGCCCATTTATCACAACTGCTACATTTATTGTTATTTTTCAAATAAATAAACATAAAAGTTTCAACTTACTTGTAGACTATTCACTTTACCAGACGATACTCTCACTTCGCGCATGCTCAGTTTCGCTATTTTGTAAGTAGACGATATTTTTTTTTCATGAAAAAAAATGTTTATTTCGATTGTTATCTTACATTTTATTTCTTGTTAAGATAGTACTTAAATTTAAAAAATGTTTTCATAAATAAAATAAAACGTAAAAACATTATTTTATGGTTTGAATTTGTTGGTAATACTGAACACCGGGGGAGTTGAGTTCCTTATTAAAAGCACCAATGGGATCAGTATTTCACGGGCCCCCACCAGTGGGCGAGTGGTCTCCGTTGCCGCTCATCGTAGTGGTGACCAGACCCTAACGACTGGGAGGTTCGTCGTGGGTTCGCGCCACGGTCGGACAGGCTGGCTGCTTGGAGTTTTCCGGGTTTTCTCCTTGCCTATAACGACTGAATAGGAGGCCAGTTCCCCATAAAAGTCCTCCCGGAAGGCATTTATTTCCCGCGCGTACGTATGGCTGTTCGATACAGCCGGCTAATCGGTCGCCTAGCGATCAAACACATACACAAGTCTACTCGGAGAAAGAGCCTACATTGAGCTAAAATCTCCATATAAACACCATCGAAGAAGAAGAAA